TGACTACTGGGGCCAGGGGACCCAGGTCACCGTCTCCTCAGGTGAGTCTTCTCAAGCCTCTCTCCTCGGTCTCTCCGAGGATTTTTGCTGCGTTTTAGGGGGGAAATTAGGGTGTATGGGTCTTGGCTCTAGAGGGCCTGGAGTCTTAGGAAGAGGGCCTGGGGGCCCCAGGCTCACACCAGCAAGGAGAGTCCAGGCGCCCTCCCTTCCTGGGCTCTGCAGCCAGGGCCTTCTCTGCTGGTCTCAGCCACACTTGGCCTCTGGGAGCCCGAGGTCCCCAGCCCTGTAGGCCCCGCTAGGTGTCATATGAGGTGGTCCCAAGAGCTCAGCCGGCCACCAGCATTTGCCTGGGGTCTTGACACAGTTGTCACAATGTGACCCCCAGTTTGAATACTGGGGCCAGGGCACCCTGGTCACTGTCTCAGGTAAGACAGCTCTCTGCCCTCAGTTCTGGGCTGAGAAAGAAATTTCCAGAGATTCCTTGGTTTTGTGGGAGCCGCGGGGAGGCTGTTTCTGAGGCCGTTTGTCTGTCGGTCCTGAGGAGATGAGTCTCTGCCGGTGGAGCGCGGGCTGGGCAGAGTGGGCTCTGTAATTGAGCCACAGAGACCGAGGGCCAGGGCTTTGTGCGACCAGGTCACTGGGAGGGGGCTCGGGTTTTTGCACACCACCTAACGGGGCCCGTGGCGTTGTGCTGACTTTGGTTCCTGGGGCCAGGGGACCCAGGTCACCGTCTCCTCGGGTGAGTCCTCATCCCCTCCCCACTTCCACTGCAACTGGGGAGAGCTGGGGTGTGGGGGTCTCGGTGTTAGAGGCACAGGGGCATTTTGGGGCTCAGGAAGGGGAGTCGGGGAGAGGCTCCTCGTGAACAGGGGCTGGAGGTGGGCCTCTCTGCCCCAGGGACGCCCTGGTGTGGGGGCCGGGCGGAGCCCTTGGCTGCTCTGGCCATTTAATTCGAGCGTTGCCAGGGGCTCCCATCAGCTTTTGGCGGGTGGCCGCTTGAGCTTGGCTGGATTTCCGAGGTGGAGTTAGGAGTCTGTGTTTTGTGGTCAGATGGCCCAGGCAGGCAGGCATTGGCCGGGCTTCTGGGGGGCCAGACTGCAACATGGGGTCTCCAGGGCGGTCAGGAGGGAGCGGCGCCAACAGAGGGTTCTGGGGCCCTCTGGGTTTGTGACTCAGAGGGTCACTTGCATGTGGTGCCGGAGACAGTGTGGGTCCCCAGGCAGCCGCGGGGCCGTGCCAGGCCTCCGAGGTTTTTGTGGGGTGAGGCTGGAGCTTCCGCCATTGTGATTACTACGGCATGGACTACTGGGGCAAAGGGACCCTGGTCACCGTCTCCTCAGGTAAGAGTGGCCCCTCCAGGGCCTTTGTGTTCTTCTCCTGTCTGTGGGGTTTTCTGAGCATCGATGTCTGGTCCTTAGGAGGGTCCGTGTCCCCCAGGTGGCCTGGGCAGGGCTGACCAGGAGAGGATGGGGACCAGGTTTCCTGGGGATTTCAGAGTCTCTGGATTTTCTGACGCCTTTCAAAAATCGGAATAGTGCCAGCATTCAAGAGGGGTCTCAGGCAGGAAGGGCCACCGAGAGTGAGCCCCAGGACCCCCTTGGTGGCCAGGCGGTTTGGTCTGTGGCGGGAGAGCTTCTGCTGTTGCGGTCACAGAGTCGGCTAGAGGTGTGCCCGACGCCAGTGTTTGCACACACAGGGCGGAGTGGAATGCTCTCTGGGCTAGGAGCTGCGCTCTGGGCTAGACTGTACTGAAAATTCCTCGTTGCTTGGGAAGAGAACAGCCTGGGTGAGGAAGGACAGGCAGAGTCTTGATCTTGGTGACAGCAGGGTGCCTCAGCCCCTGAAATAGAGAACTTGGGAGGCTACAGCCGCTGGGCTCTGTGAGAACAGTTTCTAAGAGAAAGGGAGGTGTTCCATCAACAGGAGTACTTCCAAAATATTAAAAGGCAGGATAGCTATGAAGTGGCTCCTGAGACAGATGATTAAGAAAATTGTGACTTTAAAATGTGAGAAGTTTTCAAGCAGATGACTTTTTTTAATGTTTAAGTATTTTAAATTCTTATCATTCAATTAACAACCATGAACCATGTCTCTCGGGAGCCATTAGTTCTGAGTTAGGCCCAGAGCAGTTGTGCGGTGCTGTTGGCCCCTGATCCAGGGCTGAGCTTTGAGGTTAATAAATTGAGCTTATTATTCTTTAATTAATTGATGGTGTTGAGTTAGTCAAGATGGCCGCAGGCAGAGCTGGCCACCTGCAGCAGGCGGCAGGAAGCGGCTTCGGCCGAGTCTATTTTAGGAAGTGAGAAAGCCCGAATGGTAAATTTACAGCTTGCGGTTGCCAGGGTGGTTTGCCCAGCCTCACAGCACTGAAAGTGCTCCACAGAGCAAAACAACACCTGGATAATTTGCATTTCTAAAATAGGGCAAACATGCTGACAGAAACTAGAAGGTTCCGGTTTT